GGTGAGGACTGAACCCCTTTGAGGGCCACCTTGATCCAAGCCTGTATCTCATGCAATCAGGGCAAAAAGTTCTTCAGGTGTTTGTCTTCACTCTTCACCCTGTTGCTGTGCTTTGAGTGGGAGAGCTGGGTGTGCGTCGCCTGCACGAGATGGCTGCAGGCTCTGCAAGCCTGCGGAGCATCCCCCATCCTGAGTTAGTCCGATCCTGTTCCATGTGGACCACGCTAAGGGCAGCGAGTACCTGCCCATCCCCACAGCTGCGTTTGCTTTGTGCCTCTGGAAAGTCCTGACCCATCAGGAGGTTGCTGTGCTTTGAGTGGGAGAGCTGGGTGTGCGTCGCCTGCACGAGATGGCTGCAGGCTCTGCAAGCCTGCGGAGCATCCCCCATCCTGAGTTAGTCCGATCCTGTTCCATGTGGACCACGCTAAGGGCAGCGAGTACCTGCCCATCCCCACAGCTGCGTTTGCTTTGTGCCTCTGGAAAGTCCTGACCCATCAGGAGTTCCCAGCTACCAAGCTAGTGGCAGTGGGGCCCGCAGCAGGGCTGGCATGGTCCGCCGACGGACCAGCAGCAGGTCTGCCTTGGTCCAGGGCTGGTCACACACCTGAATGGGAGCTGGGACGTTTGCTGGGCTACTGATGCACAGGCCACGCTTCCCAGGCACGTCCCCTAAACTTTCTGACCCCGCTCAGCTTGTGCAAGGACAGTGAGATGACTGTCAGGTGAAGACTGTCCAACCAGTGCACAGGAGCAAGAGCAGAAAACACAGGAACCGTCACGGGGAGCTTGTTGGGAGCTTAACCCCGGGACAGTGGGTGAAGCTTGAACTGATAGAGGGTGGGTGCTGGGACAGAGCCGAGGGGACAGCTGCTCTGGGGTGGGGGCAAGGCTTTAACCGACTGTGTTGCACCCCATCTGACCTTCCCTTCCCTGCTCTCCTCCAGGAGAAGGCGTCCAGCCCATGCCGAGGGAGCCGGTGGCCTTACCTGGAGGCTATTCTGGTGAAGTACTCGTAGGCGTTCTCCTTGGTGGGCTGCAAGGATTTCAGCATGTAGCGAAACTCCGCATCGTACCGCTCGTTAATGTCGTCACCAATGATGGCCAGGCGCCTTCCCACCAGGCTTCCAGTGCTGCCCAGAGGGAAGATGGCATTATGAATGGGTCTGCCTTCCCAGCAAGACCGGTAAGGAGGACCGAGGGGTGGGTCCATAAAGGAGCTCAGGATGGGGTTGAGGGACGTGCAGACGGTTGGTATCAGAGTTTTACCTGCCCAGCTCCTCCTGGATCTCCACGATCTCTGGGTCCATGGGCATCTCCTCCCCTCTCTCCTCTCTCTCCTGTTGGTAGCGGTAGAAGGCATAGCTCCGAAACACCTCCTCCGTCTCCTCTGCCACCTGGTCTTCTGAGAGAGAGACAAGAAGAAAAAAAGTCAAGGGAGAAGCTCATCTCCCCCCTTTCCCAAGTTGGAAAGAGACCATTCCTTCATTTTCAGCCTAAATTTGTGCTGTTTGTATTAACACTGGCCTTTTGCAATAAAACAAAAAGAATCCAACATAAATTAGTTCTCAGAAAACTAATTTTGAAGCCAGTCTTTGTTCTTAGGGGCACAAGCCCACCTTTTGAATCCGTTTTTGGCAAGAGACAGCTACAGGACTGTCACAACACAAACCAGATGTTCACGTGCTTGTGCTTGGCAGCTCTCTCCCCGTGACAAGACCTCTCCGTAAGGACATTGCTCAGCACAAACAAGTGCAGGAATCTCAGATCCAAACCCAAACTGGAGGCAAAGCTCAGTCTAGCGTTGCCCATCAACCCTCAGGAAACAATCTTGTTTTTCAGTGTCACCAACGGTCGTGCCCTTGCATGGCATCAGCAATGACGTGGTGAGCAAAAGTTAAATTGGTCATTTTAGTGTAATTCCTTGCCGATTCAATCACATATCACCAGTCTCACATACACCCGTCAGCCCAGCAGCGGCAATGCCAGGGCAGGGTTTGCAACTTCTGCATGGGCTGCTGGCAGGAACAGAAAGGAGAGGAGCTTTTGAATAACTCGTAAACTGTAGTCCAGAGAGGTGACTCCCCATCCTGCGCTTGAAAGCAGATAAACAGCCAGGTGATAAGTTTGAACTGAATGCCTGCTCCTGCTCCAGCACACCCATTGCCACTGTGTGAGAGTGGACACCCAAATCCCCTGTTCTGCTAACAAATACCCATGGAAGCACTAAGCCCGTTGCACAGCGAGCGGGAGGCTGCAGCCGGGCAGGGGGTGAGCCGGCGCCGTTGGGGGGGGAAGCTGGGGCTGGTTTTGGGTGCCACAGCTTCCTTCCCTGCTCTCCTGAACAAACAGGACTCGGCACGCCAGGGATTCAGGGTTCCGCCGGGGGATAGTAACGTCACCCGGCCCCGACAGCGCGCGAAAACCGACCCGGCTCTGTGCAAGCAGGAAGCGAGTCAGAAACAACCGGTGTCGACAGGCGTGCGCCCGTCGGCAAACGGCTCGAGGGCAAGACCCGCACGCGTGTCCCCTGTGCCCACGCTGCTCGGGGAAGAGCAAGGGTCTCGAGGTGGCCAGGACCTGCCCCCTTCGGAGCAGGGAGCCCCCAGTGAGGCATTTCTGTCCGTAGGTACCATGGTGACCGATACCTTATCACATGCGTTACATTGCTCCTGGGGAAAGTACCCGCTCTGTCACGGGATGTCTTTGATTAGAGCTCAGTTTCGGCTGGCTCAAGAAGCAATCTGGGCTAGAGCACCGGTTCCCAAACAGCCGGCAGCCCAGCTAAGCCACCCCGCAGGGCTCGGGGGGAGCTGGCCCTAAGGTCCCAGTAACACAGTTCTTCCCAGTTGCTTTTCTAAGATGCAAAATTTGTAGGGGACAGAAATGGTATGGACGGTCAGAGCCTGGCTCCTTTGACAGGGTGTCACCGTTCAAGGTGGTGATTCACAGACATGAAATGCGGTGCAAAGCCCAGCTAAATGAGTTACTTGGGAGAACGTCAGAAGCGCAGGACCCTGCAGACCCGTGGCTTTAGGTGTTTGTCCTGCAAGGCGTGCTGGTGACAGGCAGCAGCACATCTGCATGAGCACCACTGTCTAGCAGCAGTGCAGCTCGCTGCAGCCACCCCAGCTAAAACCCTTTCCCAGCATCCCAGTATATCCACCCGCCAGACTGGCCGTGCAGTTCTCTGGCCACTGGAAATTGCATTTCCAATGCAGAGATGCTCCTGCCCGAGCAATATCCCAGGGCTGGGACGTGAGGATCTGGCCCAGTGGGCACAGCTGTCCTGGCAACACTGCTCCATAAAACCCTGTATCCAAAACATGCTGCACCACTCGTCGCAGAGTTTTTTCCGGCTGGTCACGTCTACACAGCCCGCGTGGTGCTCAGGGGAGATGGGCCCAGCCCTCCCGGGGAAGGGAGAGGACCTGTCGTGCAGAGACTCAGGTTACACCGAGTTTAGGCTGGGTAAATAAAGGTGAAGGGAAATGACAAGCCCTGGTCGCTGTGTTTTCAGGGAATTGTTTTTTGTTTTGCAGGAATGGGTTTATTTGGCGGTAAACAAATCCCACCTCATAGAGGAGCCAGCGGAGCCAGTGACCGCTCCACCGAGAGCCAGAAAACAAAACCGACTGACTCACAGTTTCAGTGAGAGGCAGGGTAAACACACTGCGAGAACAAAAGAGGAAATAAGTGTACCAAAAAAAATCCCTGGTTTTAATTACCCCAGGCGCTATTTTCAGTAACACAAGGACGGGAGAACACACATCTTTTTCCCCCAGGTGCTAACCCACAGCACCCACTGGGACCATCTCTGGATCTCTTCCACTCAAAAGAAGAGGATCTGGATCAAGATTTGCCTTTGGACTCCCAGTACCAGCACCAGAGAGGAGGAGAGCGGTTTGAAGCTCCTCCGGGATCTCTGGGCTCCCTGCGGGATCATCGGGGCCGTGTTAGGGGGCTCATGAGCTGCTGTGAACCCCCACACTGCAAGGGAGGACCTGCTCTGCTTCTGCCGCACGGAGCAGTGACCCTGTCGTCCTCAGTCCCCAGCACACTCTCAGCATCTAGACCAGACCTACCCCAACAGCCTCTTGCCTGGATCCACACCGTAGACAACATTGACCAGACCCCAGCCAGTCTCAAGCATGCAACATCTGCATTTCTGTGCAAGATCCTTTGTTTCTCACCGTTCCTATCTCCCGGGGAGCAGCTACGCTACGGTAAAAACTGGCAGGTCTCACCAAAGTTATCCATCAGACCTTGTTACAACTAAATGAAATAGCCCTGCTGCAGACTATAATAATGACAGATGCAACCTGGCAGCATCCCTTTCGAGCTCAGGAGCCAGGCAGTAACTACACGAAGAGGTGCATCTGTTTGCGCAGAGGGAGATATCCAGCCTGGAAACAGCAACTGGCTCCGAAAGGAGAAGACAGCTCCGGGGAACCAAGAATGGTCTCTGGAGATTTCTGCCTCGAGGGGAACCTTAACTCCACCTCATGGTAGTTGCAATTCAAGTGTGGGATGAGCAGTATCTTCGTTAATGGATTTGGGTTAGCTTCCACCGGGCAAGGCAGCCCCTTGTGAAACCTATTGCCTGTCCATAGCAATGCCAGGATCAAAGGCTGATCAGCCTGACACTGCACCATGCTGGCATAATCCTGCACAGCTTGCACCCGAGAGCAGAGCTTCTAGACAGGGAAATGGAAAACTGCCGTCCCCAGAGGTGTCTGCACAGCACAAAGCCCTTCCTCTTATCCTGCTCTTTAGAACAAATATCTTCCCACCCAAAAGAGGAGCAATATTCTCAAACAGCCTCCCTGCAGAGCTAATGGGCAAACACCCTTGGTTTTAAGATAGAAATTAATCTGTCAATAAGGGAGATTCTCTGTCCAGATTGTGGACCGGAATCAAGAAATCTGCTTTAATTCTTACGTTCAATTGTGTCCCACCAACACACCCAGAGTTACAGGCTTGCAGCAGGGGCTGAGGGCTGCAGCAAGGTTTTGCTCTGGTACTTCGCTGCCCAAGCCGAGACCTGTCCCGTATTTGCTAATCTACTGAACTGCAAAGGGAGGCTGGGCCCAGCAGGATGTCTGAGATGGGTGGGCATCTCAGCTCTGGCAATGTATCTCCCTCTGCATCATCAAGTTTTTCATAAAAGATTTTCTGGGGCATCCTTTGCAGGCCAGAACAAAGGAGTCACAAGGCAATTCCAGAGCAGAGTTATTTCCCAGCACAGCCATCGGAAGGGTGACTTTTTTTTTTTTTCTTTAAAAACGGAAGCCACATATTGATGGGAGATGCAGTTCAACAGGAAGTCCAATACTCTGTGTCTGTACTGGAGATAGGAACTGCATGGGCACCAAACAAGAGAGAAGTATGTTAAATGATGTTGGTTGCTCTACAGAATGTATGAGAACCCAGGCTTAAACAGGCAGCTCACGTTTTTCCTACTCATTTTGCAGCTAGTCTTGGAGATGAAGGCACGGAGATGCTCACAGATGTATGACTAACATCCCTAAGCAACTATTTATCAGTTCATGGCTTGCTTCACATGCAACGTCAAGTCCAGAGCTAAGACAAACAACCAAGGACTAAACCTCACACCTCTCCAGGTATGTTACGTGAATATTAAACACACAGACAGATGAGAAAGCCCAGGTAATCTGAGGACGAGACACTGCAAACTGTGAGTCAGGGTGGCTGGGCTTTCCGTGCACAACCCTGACACCTTGGACATCCTTACAGAGACTTGCACCAAAGCTCTCTCCGTTTCCCTAGTAGTAATAAGTGGATATAGCAATACATCACCTTTCTTAACAAAGTGCTTTGGGATTCCAGCTGGCATGGTTCACACAGGAGCTAAGTGTGACCACATAAACAATATTTTCATCACTCGGACTAGCCCCTCTGCAATGTAGGGGGGCTGAGATGCATTTGGTATGGTTACCTGCACGTGTGAGCCCAGCCACGTCCATGGCTTGTCCCACAGATCTAAGCCTCGATGGAACTATCCAAACCTTTCCCGAAGCTGGGTGCGTACCCTGGCAGCATGTCTGAACAGGGAAGCACTGCCACCCCCACATTACAGGAGAGAACTGAAGGAGGGCAAGGTTAATGAGTTACTTTTCTGAAGTATGAGCCCTGTTTCCTGAGCTCAGTTCAGCACCGTTGGTGCTGGGCCTCCCACCCCTCCTTCTGCAATGTTTGCTCCCCTTTGCATGACTCTTCATGAGCTAAGCTGCTCCTCCTCTTCATCACGTACAGCCAGGAGTATGAAGCTACTGCCTTTGTCTGCAATGCCCTAAAAACACCACAAGTGCAAATTGCCACCCAACCTAGACAGAAGCAGCAGCATCTTGTCCGTGCCCTAAGTAACGGCTGGTACAACAAGGGCTCAAATGATGCTCAAGCAAATCCTTGAGCAGCAGTTAAAGCTCTTCACTCCCTACCGCATCCGAAGATAAACAGAGCAAGCGAGCCCTAAATGAAAACCAGGCTTAATAACTGTTGACAAAAGCCTTCTTCCGCCCCGTAATCCCATAGCACGTGTTGGTGGAAGCTGCACATTTCTGCTTCCACTGGAGTCCATGAGGCTTCTGCCTAAGAGGCGTACAGAGATCCCACCTCCAAATTCCAGATAGACCCCCCTGAGTTTTGGGAAGCAGAGGGATGCCAGTACTGCCAGTAAGTGTTTGCAAGCCTACAGGAAGCGTGACTGTAAAACAGTGTGGTTAGAGTTCAGGGCCTGATCCTCTCACTGGTTTTCACATCAGCATCTCATTGGCTTCAACAGGAAATCAGCACACGTAAACAACTGCTCTTATTTATTTATTTTCATACCTTGTAGACTTTGATAAGGGAAGGACAGGGTATTTTTTTCTTCCAGTGTATTCATACAGGATCTAGCACAAATGGTACTCCGAGATGGAGAGGAGTCCAGGCAATATCAGGGTATAAATAACATAATCAGGCCGATAAACCAGCTCTGAGCTGGATCTGAGCTCAAATACGTGAACAGTTAGTTATAGCTTCTAATCTCCATTATTGACAGAGCTGCAGTGACTCAGCCTTATTTACAAGTCCACCTGCAAAACAGGTTAAGAAGTCACCCGTGTTTAACAGCTTTCTGTGCAGTGGCATTTTATCATTTTGGGATGAAACGGGAGCTGAGGTTTTGCCTGGGTTCCTTTCGGCCCCATTCCCAGTTTCACCCATTAGTGTGAAACGCAATTACACAGTCTGCTGGGCTAGGCACACACGTTTTCGCTTCCGACTGTTGGTGAGCTGCAACTTTTCATCGCTGCTCTGCCAAGGCACACCGGAGACCTGATTTCATCCAGCAGCCGATGCAGCAAGACTGAAACCAACTGCCTGAGACCAGGCGCTGCTCAGCAAGGCGTGTTTTTCTGTGTGTTTTATACATCAAGCACCTTTCGTTCTCAGGGAAGGTAAATGACACCAGGCACCAGCCATATATCTCGCAGCCAGCTGGGGGGATCCGTCCCGTGTCCCAAGCCCTGTGGCACCCCGCTATGCCTGCCCGCACAGAGCTGCTAGCGTACCTAGTGTACCCCAGTCCCTGCACACTATTTTCTCCGTGCCTTTCGAGCCCCCCTTGCTGTCCACCGCGCTAATCCAATGCCAAGCATCTTCCAAAAGCATTCAGCATGTGCTCTCCCAGTTCAATTCAGCATAGCTTTATGGAACCGATTTGTTATCCCAGCCTTGCAAAGGGCCCTGGAGGTACAAAAAAACCATCTTTTCAAAGAAACACAGCAGGGAAAAAAAAAAGAAAGAATGGGTTGAAAATGCTTCCTCCCTTGAATATCACAGCAATCTTTTTACCTGAGTTGAGCTCTTGTGACAGCCTGCGCCCATTGCTTCCCCGGTGTCCGTGGGCCCTCGGTGGGTCACCGTCGTTCCCTGAGGCCATTGCAGAGAGATGCTTGGGAGTATCAGCTTTACCTGGAACGACGAGAGACAGTAAGTGAACCAGGTTATGAGCAGGCAGCAGGGACGCTGGAGCCTCGCGGCCCCTCGCACACCTCCCAGGCCGGCCTTCGGAAGCCCCTTGGGCTGAGCCAAGTGCTCCGAGGAGCAATGCCGCCTGCTTTTATCTCTGCCAGCGACCTGGCTCCTCCCTTCCCGGCACGCTCGCTCCCTGATTCCTGGCCACACCAAGTCTGTTGGCTAGATTTCTCCTCTCTTCCTGACTCTTCTCAGTAACGTGTTTGCAGACAGTTGTACGCCAGAAGAGGAAAGCCACCCAACTCCCTACCCCACTTCACCACCTCCCCACCCTCGCTGGAAACCTGCCAGCTATCCTCTGACCCGCTCAGCAAGTGCCACGGGCTGCACCGGCTCTTACTCAGCCCAGACAACGGCAGCATCTGCAGTGGCTTCACGCTGGGATGAAAACTCACAGCACAAAGGGCTCTACGACTCCCCGGCTGCACCCGGAGAACATGTCTGGGAGCTGAGCTGTGGGGCTCCGCTGCTGCCCGAAATGCTGCTACCCCGACCTGCAGCCACCACGGTTCAGAGCGCGGCAAGAGCAAACCAACCCACGACCACACCGAGCGGCCGCGGCTCCCACGCGGAGCTGCAGCAATGGTGCCGATTTCTCCCGGCAAGCACCTCCGACTTGTTTTCCACAACTTCTACAAGAGATGAGGTCCCTGTTTTCCAAAATCCAGAGGCTCTAATTCCACCTGTTCTTTATGTCTTCTGAGCTCCTCTCGGAATAAGAAAATTAAATGAGAACCAATGCACAGCTCACACTGCTCCTGAACTTCATGGGTATCCTAAACCCGTAGTTTAGGGCTCATTGCAGCTCCTTTACCCCTCTGCTCGTCACACTGACCTCACCCCCTGGTTTTTGCAGAGAAGGAAGTGAGGCCACGCAGTTACCGTCAGGGTTTGAGAGAGATCACTGCAGCTCCTAGCCTGTTGTTTGGCATGCCAGTACATGTTCCCAGGCCAGACTTCTACAGGGCTAAACTGGTGGGTTTTCTGATTTGCACCAGGTCTGAATTCATGAAGACACATCAACACCCAGAAGTTTAAATTGTATCCTGGGCAAAAATTTTTAAAAGCTTTGGTTATGTCAAGATTAGAAGTGCAATACGTGGTCCGAGCTTACAACCTCACACTGAAGATTATTCAGAAGAAAAAATAAATTGAGACCATAAGCAGTAATGTGAAGTACAGCCTGCAGTATGGGGGGCTGGAAATGCAAAGCTTGTCAGTCTGGGTTAGAAAGCCATCGTGTATTTGCATAGCTGCATTCAGGGAGCCTGAGCATAGAGACACACAGATGGAGATGCTGTTTTTTCCTATGCACCTCCGAGGACAGGATTTCCCTTTTCCTCCCCAACCTCAAACATCCCCATCCACGGAAAAGCTGAAACGCGATGAGGATCAGCAGTTGGGACCGAGGGTAAAGCTGGGAGGAGAGCTGGCTCCACTTGCCCAGATCAGCAGAGACCTGGGCTCCAGAGCTGCTCCTCTCCTTGCTCTTCTCTGCTCTGGGATGCGGTGGAGACAGCTCAGGGAGTGCTTGGAGCAGATGAACGTGCCCCCGTCCCCTCCTCCACAGAGGAAACCCTCCTGTGCGTCCTCCGCTGCCATCCCCAGCCCCTCCCCGAGCGCTTGGCAAGGCTAGAGCTGCAGCCCCCCTTGCGTAGGAAGGCCTCAGTGCCTTTCGAGGGGAAGCAAGACCAGACTCAGAGCAGCTCTCTGGAGTTCGTGGGTAAGCGAAGCAGTATGAATTTCTGTTGTACTTCGTGCTGCTACAGCCCAAGGCTGTACCGAGTGCTGGGGAAGATGCGGACGCATCCAGCCAAAGACTTCAGCTGCCTCTGGAGCTTTTACAGTTTGGTCGATGAGTGCAACCGTCTGTGTTTCACATCAACCCGCTGCCTTGGACCCAGACCTCAGCCACGAATAACAGGGAATTTCTGATGCAGACCTGACTGCTCAGTGTGACGGATGTCTGGTGAGCACAGGAGCCCGGTGCCCGAGAAGCAGCTGACTCACGTGATTCTTCACATTTGCCGCCTGGCAAACCCTTAGGAAGCAGCAGGCTGCGACTGCGGCCGTCATTTAAGAGGAACTTTCATTTTCAGTTTCCTTCTCAATATAGTTTCTTGCAGCGCTTTCTTCTCTTGCAACACGGGACACCACAGCCCTTTTGCACGCATGCACATCTGCGACCAGCAGCTACATCCCCGACAGCACGCTGCCGGCCGCCAGCCTGCTCCCTGGGGAGCATCCTAAACTCCCACTCCTGCAAACCAAGCGAATGCCCAAGATAGCTCACTGCCAGTCTCTGCTGGAGGTCAAAGTGCCTCGGACTCCAGTATCAAGAGTGCTGCTTCCCAGCCCAATGCCCCTTTGATTTGCCCCATTCCCCCTTTGTTATGAGAATACCATGCTGGAAGAGAGCAGGGAGGGGCGTGAAGGAGGATATGACACCCATCTACTTAAAGACAGCCCAAGGCTGCAGAAAATGAAGGCTCTCCAGGACTTGAGACAGGGCTCAAGAGAGGGTTTGGGGGAAGCTGCAGATTACTGGAGCAGTGTCTGACTCCCAGCAGCTGTTAAAAGATTCAGCTCCACCCCGACTTTTGCTCTTGTAGGAGGCCGCAAAGGGTTAAAAGCCGCAGACAGCACCTAGGATGTGGATTTAGCAACACCTCCAGGATGGCACAGGAGTCTTATCTTTATTAACGAGCACATGCCATGCAAAGAATCAGCCTTCCTGGAACCTGCCAGGCCTCCCTAATAAAAAAAAAGACCTTTGCCTCAACTGTTTCTCATTTCACCCTCATCTCCTTCGCTTAAAGGTCTCTGACACATTTCCTGGGTGCCCTCATGACACACCACTTCTCCCAACTTTTCTCCAAAGGAAGGTGCCTGGGTGCAGGGAGATGGTGGGACTGGCCCAGAGAGAGAGGCAGAATTGCAAGCTGCTGGAGGGGAGAGGATCTGCAGGAGCAGCCATAATCCCAATGAACAAGGCCGGCTATGGGGCTCTGAAGTCACCCCCTGACATGTTATGAAGATCCTGTTCCAGGAAATGCATGGAGCATCCTCTGGGACAAGCATTGCCCTGGCCCTGGGCCTGTGCACAGGAGTGATTCCATCATGCGGCGTGCAGGGCAGCTAACCCTCTCCAGGACAGAAATCCCGCAGGACTCCTGTGCCCTGCTGCCATCCCTGCACGGACAGTGCAGAATCAGCCCTGCTGCTCCCAGCCTGGCCTAGAAGAGCAAACAGGTGAGTTTGCCCAGTTTGGTGTTTACCCACCCAGCATGGCACCAGGGTCCAGCTGGCCCACGAGCCCCAGCAGATGCAGACATTGCACCCAGGGTGCCCCCACAACCCCACGTCCCGGAGGTCCCCGGCGCTGCTGGGCGGGAAGCTGTGCAGGCACGTGCAAAAGCCTGCAAAGCCACACGTGCCGTGCCTGCGTCTGAGGTCACAGCCCAGAGCGGGGTGAAACGGATGTCACCCCGGTCCTCAGCGTGGCACAACTCTTCCCACCAACAGCTCACACAATCCTGTCTACCCTGAACCCCTACGCTGAGCGCTGGCACAGGGATGCCACTGTAGAAAAATTAAAAATTAAATTTTGGCAAAGGGGGAAAAAAAAAAAAACAGCTGGAAAAAATATTATGAAAAGAGGCAATATTCCCTCTTTGGGGCAACGATCAGCTCTGAGCGAGACATTTCAGCCCTGGTTCAGCTACTGCACACACCGGAGTGCTGCTTGCTGAGGTACCCCTGCGTACTTTAACCTTGTTCAGCGGGGGGTGCAGGATGAGGCCCTGCGGCTCTGC